TCTTTAACTAATTTCAGCCCCATATGGGGTAACCAGTCTTTCCCACCAGGCAGAGCAGATTCTGGTTTAAGGAAATGGGCTGAAAAAGGTTTAAAGACAATCAGAGATCTGGTGAATTCAGAGAAGGGGGTCTGGGTGTCATTTGAAGAGTTGAAGGCCAGGTATGATATCCCAAGTAAACATTATTTTAAATATCTACAACTTAGAAATTTTATTAGGTCATATCAAAATCAATGTAAATTTATCTCCCCTGCTATTCAATTTGGAAACTGTAGTGAAGAAGGATTACTTTTGAAAAGGAATCATCTCCAAACTGTATAACATATTGGTGGAGGGATCCTCTGAGTCTTCTTTGGGGAAGCTCAATGTCTGGAGGGAGGATTTACAGGAAAATGTATTATCAGAGGCCTGGGAGAAGGTGTGTGCTGAAGCACAAACTACTAACACACGCCTCAAGGTACTGCAATGTGATTGGCTAATGAGAACTTATGTGACAACAGAAAAGCTTAAGTATAATGGGGCCATCCCAGACCTGTGTAATAGATGTGGAGAAGAGAAGGTAACATTTATTCGTTGTATCTGGAAATGCAAGAAAGTAGTGCAATTTTGGAGGGAGATAAAACAAGCTCTAGAAACTATATTAGGGTTAAAACTAATTTTTGATCCTAAAGTGTTTATCTTAGGATTATACCCAAAGAGACATATGTCCAGAAAAAATATTACTGCAATAGATTTATGCCTATTACTTGCAAAAAGAGTCATTGCACTTTCATTTAAGAGTACCAGTAAACCAAAATTCATTAATTGGATTAAAGAAATATCAATAACCTTGCCAATGGAAAAGATTAGTTTCATTGTAAAATGTCGCTATTTCAAAATATTTGGGGTCCTTTAAAGGAATATATAGAAAAAATAGATATGAGGGGTGTCAGGGCTGAACTATAGTTACAGTTGGTCTCCCGCAGTGTCCTGAAATAACTTTCATTATATGTATACCTGACTATTCCACTTGGAACTATACATTTGAGTTTGTATTTTCTAAGCGAAGTAGAAAACCAAAACAATCTGAGCTAATCTTGTGGAAAACAGAGAAACCATTATTGTTGGAACTTTTTTTGTTTTGTTTTTTTCTATGGGAATTGAGATTGCGGGAATGTTTCTGTTTTTTGTTTGTTTTGTCTTTCTTTTCTCATATGTTCTGTACGTATGGCTCTAAAATAGCTTATAATGATCTGGCAAACAAGAAGGGACAAGTTGAATGTTGGACAAAAATCAAATACTCTGAACTTTTTGTTTAATGTGAGAGCATACTTATGTTCTGTTTAAGTACTGTTTAAAATCAATAAAGATAATGTTGGAAAAAAAAGCTGGGCTTCTCAGAGGACCATGACTCCCAGTTACAGGTTCAAATTAACCTGTTTTCTTGTTGTACGGACAGAATCAGACTGCAGAGCTTCAACATATCTTGAAATTTTGTTTCTGGCATCATTATATTAGTAAGTGGTTAATAAATCCTTTTAAAATGAGCACAGAGAGAAGCAGGGAGAGCTGCAGATTTTAAGATGAAACAGATTTACTGGGATGCGCAACATGCAATAAAATTTACCAGAAAGTTTACAAGAAAAAAAATATGCTATGCTATATTTAAAATGCAGAAATTTAGATATTTTTCTGGATGGATGGAACTGAAATAGTACTTCTAGGGATGCATGATATATCGATTTTGACATCGGAATTAGCTGTTATTCATTATCTTTTTATACATGAATGTTTTTGGACCCTACATATATAATGCACTAAAAGGCATCTCTCCAACATCTATAAATATCAGTGTATTATTTAAAGCTCTCTTGTGTTCTCAATAATAGGAAAGAATTCAATAAATATATGTTTGAGCTCATTTTTGGAAAATACAAAAACCTAATGAAAGCGTTCGGGTCGAGTGTCCCGACTAATTTTCATCACAAAGTTACACCCTTGATCACACCCTTTGAAAGCAGTCACATTTATTTATCTGTTCATACACATTTTGTAAAGCAGCTTGTTGTGCTTTAGCAGAAGATAAGATTTTCTATGGGATTCCCACAAGGCTTACTAAAAAATAAATACAAGACAAAGTGATCCACAACTCGAAAATATACAAAGGTCTGAAATCAATGTAAACTTTGAAAACATCATTTTTTTTTTACATTAGAGACAAATAGATAACCTTTGTGATTTTTAAGAACAGTTCATGTATTTACAGTTTTGTACACAAAATAGAGAGGAACCCCCTTCTCCCAAACACACATACAGTACTGTTTATGTAGGTTTAACTGACGTCCAATTTTTTATGCATTTAGTACCATAAGCTGTGACCCTGCTTTAGTACTACTCTGTGTTTCAGTCAAGTAACAAGAGAGGAATAAAACAGTCCAATGCCTCAAAACAGGTCCTGCACATGTCCTTCAGCCTTTGGCAGAAGCAGCTATACTACTCCACTCTTACATTGTGTTAAGTGTGAGAAAATGATCAAGGAAGATCTTACCCGCTGAGTGGAAGGGTCTATAAATATATTCAGGTAAAGCGTACAGCAAGGGACAAATGAAACCTCACAAACATTTCATCATTGTATTTGAGTCAATGAGTCAATGCAATCAACTGGTTTTCCTTAGATAGAAAACTTTGTATTAATTTGACTGTATGATCTGGTTGAACTGTAAAGTGCCTTGAGATGACATGTGTTGTGAATTTGGCGCTATATAAATAAACTGAATTGAATTGAATCATCAGTGCAAAAAAAAGGGAAAAATGCTGGAATGAAAATTGAGAGGCTTATCTCACTGTGTTCCCTGTTATGTGAAAAGTACGGAGTGTCATTAAGGCCAAAATCTACCTACACCGACGCTCATTATGTCAGCTTTGCATACTGATTGTAAGCATCACCTGCTATAGCTTATGGCTATTTGAATCATGTATTGTTTATATTTGATCTCAATACTTGGAAGTCACTTTTCGCCTTGCTTCAGCAACCAGCATGTAGAAAAGACTGAAACGTATTGCTGAGAAAGAAATATATATCTAGATAAAATGTGCTTTTAAAATTGTGTTAAAATGTCACTTTTTAATTTGTCAGAATGTATTAAAAAAGTAAACAGATCAGTGGGCCATCCATTAGTATAAAAATATATATTTCAGTTTTTATTATAGAAAATAGCGGTGAATTATTTCATGGGGCGGTGAGGTGCGAAGCAGCAAACCTTAAACTGCTTCGGATCGTTCTTTATACATCCTCCACTTAGAAAACAGAAAAATTGTCACCAGGGAAACTTTTCGTCACTTATTGTTTCCTGTCGAGTCAAGTAAGGCTTATTTGATCCTACTGAGCACTTTCCACTCGCCTCTTTCGACTATTCAAAAACATGCCACACATCATCCGCCACAAACGGCCGCCGTTTTTAAAACAAATGACCTTCTCATTGTATCTCCCTGCACTGCGATTCAGACGCCTCCAGCTTTTTGAGCACTTTTTCATGTCCTGTGATATCACCTGCATCTTTCTGGTCTCCACATATTGTATTTGGATCACTGGTAACTCTATCATTTCATGACTAAAATGTCGTAACAAGCAGCTGCCTTTTCATTTTAAGTATTACTAGTTTTAAGAAGTTCAAATAAGGTATTCTGACTACTGTTACTAGCAATATGAACGGAAAGATGGGAGGATAAGTTCTGTGAAGCAGGTTGTGATGTCCTGATGGGCAGGGAAGAGTAACACTACTGTCACAAGTGGCTTAAGGAAATATACAAGTTGTGTGTCTTGTTTGCATAGGTATTCACAGAATACATAAAGGTAAAAATCTCCACCTGTAGGAAATAAAATGAAGGTTAGATATTATGCATTTTTTTTATATGAAGAAGGGGATGTGCTGTCTTAAAGTAAGGCAGTCTGACAGGTCAGGTTTACATGGCTTCAACTAACCCCAAAAAACAAACAATTGCTTTAAAACTAGAGATGCATCGAGACAGTTTTCAGCTTAGCCACGATTGGCTTTGATCTGTAACAAGGAGGTTGATAGCCTGACGTAGTCCGACTCAATTCTAGTCAAAATATGAGTCTGATGCTGCTCCATAGAGCTGTGATTATGGGGCGTGTTTCGAACGAACCAGGAAAAAAAATGCCTCTGCACTCAATTGGATAGACCTACAACCAATAAGAGCAACGGAGTGCGTGACGTATGTTAAGCGACGCATAGTTGTTGTCAACAAAAATCAAAGCGTGAAGTTGCACGCCTAGAATAAGAAGATGAGCCTTGATCGCGTTTCTCTGTTCCTCTTTTAAAATTAATTTGCTGTCGATATCTTCTAGAACAGACCTAATAGCAGAATCTACTCACCTCAACTCTCCAGCGGCAGCCATTATTGTTGTCACCCAAGCGCGCTTTGGTCACGTGGTTGATTACGTTACTGTTGATCATCTGTCCATCATCGTATAAAGCCCGCCCTGACAATTTGATTGGCCCGCCAGATATTGTGCTAGCATACTAGCGCTACTGTTGAGCAATGCCAGACCGAAGTTGCCGACCTCAAACGTTGTGGGCGGGACTAAGTTCGGAATGGCACCCAGGCCAGGAGGTTGATGCCATTAGAAAGAAAATCATCCAAGCTCTGTAACTTCTCGCTGGTTCAAGAGCTAGGATGACTTTGGGCTACTGTATAAAACCTTGAACTCAACGCAGTTCCTGACATTTTGAATTGAAAAAGCTTCTTGGATGGGAAGCGAAACGTCTTCAAACTTGGAAACTATGTCCAGTGGATTGTTTTTAATTTTCTTTTTTTTTTTATTCTCGCTGGTCAAGAGCAGAACTTTCCAGATTTTAAAATGTGGCAAAATCTCTAGAAAGTAAAAACTCACTGTTCACTTAACCAGGTGACCAGTCTGTGCTGTGGACCTGGAAATGCAAATAGTTGGAGTTTAATCTCTGTACAGGCTTTTTACTTTCTGGACCTGGATTATCCAC